CTTAGCACTCAGGAGGCTGAAGTAGGACAATCACAGTGAATCTGAGGCCAGCTTGTACTACATAGCGGGACCGCATCTAAGTAAGTAAGTAAGTAAGTAAATAAATAAATAAATAAATAAATAAAACAAAATGCTTTCATTTCAGGTCACTCTAGTTTTATGGCTAAGAATCCATAGACTAGAATAACAGGTGGCAAACACTGGCCATTCACATATCAGTTGACAGGATGGTAGAATCATTGGGTGTAGGAATTCATATTCCATAAAAATAAATAAAGGAGACTATAGATTATTCAAAAAAGAATTTTAAAAGACTGCATTATGTGATTATTACAAACTCAGTACTGTTTCTAGTAATTTTAAAGTAACTGAGTGGGCCAATTATTGAAATATTATTTCTCAGCTTTAAGTCAGTCTTTCTATATGTGGCACTGGGGCTTATAAGACAGGATAGAAGAGGTAAAGATAGGTTAAAAGCAGAAAAAGACGAAGAAAATTATAATTTAAAAATTGTGCTTTGAAGAAAATTGCAGCTTTGGGACTTAATCAAGTTATTGAAGGTCACATGCTATGTTCCCTCCCAGGAACTTCACTCCAAAAAATAAAAAAATCCTAAAGGTTCTTAAAAAACAATAAACCCATGCTCTTCACCTGTAAATGAAGCGTGTGATTTTCCTAGGGTACTGTCGATGAGCAAATCTCACAGGCTTCATCCTCAAAGAAGCAGCACTACTGAGGGACTAGCATAACTCTAAACTTCAAATGCAGGAAGATGGGTTGTATTCTAACCCAGCCCACCGAATGAGTAACCTAGCTGAACGTAGGAATACACATTCTAGAACACCCATCTGGACCACATGAAAAATCCCGCCCCCACACCATAACTCTATTTTCTGAGCATTTAACACTGCCTAATAAATCTTTTTATGCCTCTACTATGTAATCCTTTTCTGCCATATAAGTCAGTAAACTTACAACCTACCCCTTTGGTGGGGTGAGTTGAGGTCCACATCCTCTTTGAAGGACCTCCCAGACCCTAACAGACAGTTTGCTCATTTGCCAGCTGCTTCCTAATAGGCTTTGCCAGTAGGAGGTGCTAAAGGAAGACTGGGGAGGAAGAGGGCATTGTGGCACCTCCTACACCTTACCCCAGCAAGCATTCTTCACCTTGGCAAGGCCAGTCTGCCCTGGCAGCAGCAGGTGAGTCCAGTTAGCACCTTCTGCAACATTTGCTCAATCAGCCTCACAGCAGGACTCCTCTCTGCCTATGGTAATCAGCTCCCGGGCCGATGCCTCTTCTTTAGAAAAACTGTCTTCATAGGTTCCTAGCCCCCCTGGATCCATCCTCCAGGCTTGTAGATTCTAATAATTTTGACCTCTTCTTTTTGTTTTCCCAATCCTATGGTAGGATCTTTGCACTTGTTACTTCTCTAATACCTCAGCCTGTTCATTTTGCCTTTTTGGTTCTTCCAAACCTAGTTAACCATTCTTTGTATTAAATTCCCTCCTAAAATAAGGGGTTGGAGACTTCTGAGGTCTAGTTTGCCATCTAAGGAACTTAAAATCACTTCTGCATTCTAATAAGTAATAAGTGGTACCAGCTGAAAGATTGGTAAGTGTTCTTAAATAAAACAAGTAAGGTCTCAAGGAAATTCATGCCTCTAAACTGCAGAGGCAGATGGGCATATACAGAGAATCACAACTTACCAGAACAGAATACTCCAGTAAAAAACTCCATGGACCCACTGCCAAAGAGGAAAGCTTAAACTACAATTGACAAATAGGTGACACGGCCGAGAGATCAAAAGGGACTCAGTTACCAGGGCTTCCACCCTTTTGTGAGTCTTAACTCCTACTCCTATGTTCCCACAGCAACTGTGGGAGAACAGTCCCCTTGTGTTTTCAGCTGAGGGAACGTATAGGAATCATTTAAAACAAACCAGAGCAGGCTGAGGGTTTAGCTCAGCGGAGTAAGTGCCTGCCTGGCAAGCACAATGTCATGAGTTCAATTCCTGGTACAAAACAAAACCCCCACAAAAACACACCATAGCATTCTATTCCTAGCAGGGATGCCCTCAGAAGAAACTAAGGAGAAATGACTTGTTTGGGTTTTGTTGCAGTCTAATTGACTTGGGAGAAGTAAAATAGTCAACTCTAGTCCTAACACGTCCTAAGCCAAGGAGAACGAAAAGCACATGTGAAGGTCATAGCCCAGAGGCACAGGCTCGATGAAGGATGAAGACCTAATTATAAGACTGTACAATATTTCCTTCCCCATGTCATACTACATTATTAAATACTTATTTAGAACCATTCTTTTTACCTAGAATATTATGTCTGGCTATTAAGAGAAAAGCACAAGGCAGACTCAAGGCAAAATGTACACTTTAAAGGTAAATAGCAAATATCAAAACCAGACAACTTCTTATCCATGCGTTCTTCATCTGTGGATTCAAACAACTACAGATAAAATATTTAAAAATGTTTATCTGTGCTGAACACGTAAAAACTTTTTCTAAACAACACAATCCATCACACAGTTTATATTTTATTAGGTATTATAAGAGATAAATTACACAGGAGAATGTGAGGAGGTGATAGGCAAACATTATACCCCTTTATGTAAGGGACTCGAGCACCCATGGATTTTGGCATCCTCAGGGATTCTGGAACCAATCCCCTATGGGTTCTGAGTTGTATTTGTATGTAGGATTATGATGAAATGAAACAAATAATGGATGGGAGGGAGGAATGAGGATTATTTTACTACTATAAGGTCTTTACACTTCCTGTGAAGAAATACAGTGTTATTTGAAGATAGATTTGGATAATTTGAAAAATATATTGCAAACTCTATGGCTATTACTAAAAAAATAAAGTATACCTAATATTCTAAAAGAGCAGAGGAAATAGGATAATACCATGCTTAATTAAATCCACAGAAAGCAGAAAAAGAAAAGAAGAAAAAGGACAATGAGGAGAAGCAGACCCATGCCTTCCTGTGAAGCAGGCTCAATGAGAGACTCAGCAGCACAACAAATCACAGCTTCTGCGAGCCAGCTGGGGCGCAGGCCGGAAACCAGAAGAGCACCCCAACCCCTCCCAAGTAACTGTCTAATTCCGAGGTTTCTGTGAGATGATAGCAATTGAGGTGAAGGGCATAGCTCCATGCTTGTATTGTTCGGCTGACCTTGCAGGACTGAGGCTAGTGGTCTGGGCATCTACTTGGAGGATAGCAGTGTGCCTGGTGGCAACTGTTGGGGATTTCCTTCTGCTTGTTTTAAAAATCCAATGTTTTGTTCCATTTTACTGTTTTGTTTTATTCCTGTATCTAGTGGCCTGAGCAACTACTTTGAAGACAGCAATGTGCAGTATCACACCATTGTTAAATTCTGATCATCTTGTTCTGAAAACCTACAAACAGCTGTTTTTGTTGGTTAAGTTTGTTTGCTTCTCAATTTGTTTTTTCTTTTTTCTCTTTAAAATAAAAAAAAACTAAAAACAAGAAAAACAGTAATAAATGGAAAACACTAGCAGATACGGTCGATATTAATGTAACTGTATCAATAATCACTTTGAATATAAGCGGTCTAAATGCACCAGTAAGGATGGAGATAGAGTGGGTCAAAAAAGAAGTCCTAGTCAGGAATTGTGGTGAATGCATGTAATCCCAGCTACTCGGAAAGCTGAGGCAGGAGGATTATAATTTCAAGGCCAGCCTGGGCAAGTGTGGGAGACTCTGCCTCAAAACAAACAAGCAAACACACAAACAGGCTAAGTATGCAGCTCAGAGGCAGTGTGCCCTGGATGCAATCACCAGTACCACAAAACTATGACCCAACCATATGTTATATACAAAAAACTTACTTTAAATATGAAGATATATATATAAGTTAAAAGTGAATGATGGGCGGCCCTGGCCCCGCGCACTCCGCTTGGCTTGTGAGGGGGCAGCAGCCTCTTGCACAGCACAGTGGCCTGGCTGCTGGCCTTGCTGTGCGGCCGCCGGTCCCTAGCGCTGGCCCAGTTCCAGCCCGGCCCAGACATCTGGCTGCTCCGCGTGGTTCTCGGGGACTTCTGTGGTCACCAGGAGCCCAGCAGAATCGCTGAGACAACAGGAGACAAGGCTGCTAGCACAGAGAACAAGCAGAGCAAGTCACAGCAGCTGAAAAGGGTTTTCCACGAACACGGAGCCGTAGGTGTGTCATTGCACGTTGGCATCTCACTAATCTCCCTGGACCGTTTCATGGTTGTTTCAAGTGGCGTAGACATGTCTGCAATCCTGCATAAAAGGAGTTGCCGGTGCAGTCGAAAATGGCACCAGGCGGGGTAACTTTGTGGTGGCCTGTGCAGCCCACAAACTGTTTGAGCCGCTGAGAATCAGCATTACCTTAGTCTCTCTGCCCTTCCTTGTCAGACACATTTGGAGAGCGGGACTTTTTAAACCTCCAACCACAGTTCTTTGATGAGCCTTTCAATTGTAGGCACTGAAAACCTAGTTTAAATTGTACAATTTGTACCGATTTTAGGATTGTGGATTTTTCTGAGCAGAATCAGGGATCTAATTGCGATGTTCTCATGGATAAAGTTTACCTTTGCTGCCAAAAATCAGGCTTTTGCATAATTATGATTTTGTGTTTTATAAATTTTGTCATGCTATTCATTGTAGGGCCATGCACATAATCTTAAATGTCACAAATGAGTGAACATCTCAAAATCAGTGGACTAAATGTTTCTTCTAGAAGATCCTTGATGAGGGTCTGTCTGCAAAAGCCCCCGGGAGCTCCTCATGCTCAAGTTCTTTAAAAGTAATGCTTAATTTAGCTCGCTTTTAAAATTTCCTTTCCACTGATTTGTTTTCAGCAGTCTGCAGGTTAATGTGCCATATTCTGCAAAATAGCTGCCAGAGCTACCATTAATGAAGCTAAAGTTAACATTATGTGATCATAATCTAAATTAGCATGTGCCCTTTGACATCCATTACACTTGTTCTGGGGAAAGAACATTGACACTGCACACCTTCGAATCTGGACATCTCTGGGCATTTCATTAAAGTAGGCCAGGTCAGTGGTCTCTATGTGAACTGTGAAAACCTTGCCGAGCAGTAATGGCATCGTGTGGCTCCTGATGCCTGCCTTCAGACTTTGGATCCTGCACATATGAAAACCTAAAGTAAGCTTAGCCCTTCTTAGACCATCTTCAGCTCTTATTTCAAACTTCAGACATTTCATAATTGTCACGGTGTTTACATTGTGTCACTACTTACATATTTTTAGACTGAGCTAAAATTATACACATGAAAGATTTGTACTACCGTTGCAGCACAGGTACCGATCTGCAAGGAAGAAACTGCACATCAAGGAGTAGGAAGGTAGCTGTTTATTACCCTTGGCGTGCTGCCGCAGATCCTTCCCAAAGCGTTACGTCAGGCTGCGTTTATACAGGTTTGTAAGCAGGAAGTGCAGAAGCAGACTATGGGAGTTCAGCAGAAAGCCGAGTAGTCATCAGTTACTGAGCAGGCGAATCCTGGGGGCAGGGTGGCGGGAACAGGGTGCATTTTTTAAGCTTGGGAAGCACTGACTGTGCTGCTCCATGCAGCCAGCGCTCGTCTTGTATAGCTTTTGTGCAGAATGAGTACACCTTGTGGCCTTGTTACATTAGGCGGGCAGTGGGAGTTTAAACTGTTAAACCACTTCCTGGAAAGAAAAATTGGTAGCACTTGTTATAAATGGAAGACAACCACGAAATAATATTTAACAAGTTGGGAAGAGGAGACTGGCAGGTATTAGTAGTCTACTGAGACAGTTCTACCTGACCAAGGGCAAGTGTGTTAGAGGGGTTAGAATTCAAGCCCAAAGACCCAAATTTAAGACTTCCTCTTCTCAGTAGTGGATTAAGACTTTTCTCTGTGAGGACTTAGTTTTATTGTCTGTCTTGCCGAATGGTTGAGGGTACTGTGTATATCTTTCTGGCTTGCAATTCCATCTTTAAATATTATTTTCTATAACAATTAGGCAAATAAAGAAATCCTTAACCATTGGTTTTACTGAGCTCTAGTTATGAACAGCCCCCTAGTTAAATCCCACTTACCTATGCCAACTGGTTATATCAATTAACATTTGAAAGGGTTTTTGTGGAACAATTCTCCACTTGCCAGGTTACTTTAAAGTGGAACATTTTTTCTCTTATTTATTTACTGGGTTTTTTTTGGGGGGGGTCTTTTTGAGACAGGGTCTTTCTAGCAGTTCAGGTTGGTGTTGAGCTCCTTATAGCCCAGGTTGGTCTCAAACTTGCAAAGATCCTCTTGCCTCAGCCTCCTGAGTGCTGGGATTACTGGATTGCACCACTATGCCTGGGTCATTGGCACACTGCAAAAAGGTTTTACAGATTTCAAGCTAGAACTGGCTTTCTGGGCTCTAATTTCCAAGGCATTTCCACAGTAGCTCTGTATGTCTGATGACACCAGTTATACCTTTTTACATGGACCGGACAGGATAGAACTTTCCTTTCTCATCTTGTATTTTCAAGGTGATTTGTTCACTTTGGGCTCCTCTTTCCATCCATACCAGTGTAAAAAAGAAAAGCTGATGGACAGTCCTAAGGCTCAGGGGCTTAAATCTCAATCTTTGCGTGTAGGAGTGATGAGAGTGGAGTACAAGGCTGAGCAAGGGCAAATCACACCAAACAGCATCTCACTGTGTTCAAGTCCCAACCCCACTCCACTCCTGGAGCCAGTGATCAAAGAAGAAAAGCAAAAGAAAACAAAACAAAAAAAGAGAATAAGGTCAAAGGAGCAGGGAACTAAAGTAATATGTGAATTCAACAGTAACATATACAACCTGCTTGTATTTGCGTTGTTTTTAATGGAAGTGGGGGATCTATTTTAAAAATGTAAACCAATTTGCCTCTAACTTTTTTAATCTGACAAGGTGAGAAGTTTAGTGAAATATAAAGTTATAAGGTTAAAAGAAAGTGGATGGATGGAGAAATATATTTCATGATAATCCTAATAAAAAGAAAGCAAGAGTAGCTGTCCTAATTTCAGATGAAGTAGACTTCAAAACAGGAAAATTATCAAGGATTAAACAGGGCATTTCATAATGATAAAGAGATCAATTCTTCAACACAATTTAACGAATTCATCATATATGCAAAACTGGTAGAACTGCTAGCAGAAATGGATAAGTGTGCTCTTCATGTTGATGGCAGATTGAACATCCTTTCATTAAAAAGCACAGTCGGAGGACTCATACTACCCAGCTTCAGGACTTACTGTGAATGTGATCAAGACAGTGTGGCATTGGAAAGACGGTGAACAAGTAGATTAGTGGAACAGAATATAGAGCCCTGAATAGACACACATAAGTAAAGTCAATTGATCTTTGACAAGCGGCTAAAGCAATACAATGGAGAAAAGATGGTCTTTTCAACAAATCATACTAGAATTGGACAATCACATGCAAAAAAGTCACAGATCTTATGCATTTAACGGAAAGTAATTAAAGTGGATTACAGACACATAAAACACAAAATTCACATAAAACACATAACATGTAAAACCTGAAAACACCTAAATCTAGAGAATAATGGGTAAGGTGATGACTTTTAGATAGATATCAAAAGCAAGATCCTTGACAAAATAATTAAGACTTTATTACAATTAAAAACCTCTGCTCATGTCAACATCATGTCAAGACATTGAGAAGAAAAGCTACAGACTAGGAGAAAATATTTGCAAATGATTTTAGATAAAATAATGCAAAGATCTCTTAAAATTCAATAATAATGGGAAAGCAAACCAACCTGATTAAAAAATGGACAATAACAAACCTCACCAAAAAAGGTATATAGACAGCAACAGGGATATGAATGAATGCTCCACATCATATCATCAATGAAATGCAAATTAAAACAACAGTGAGATATTATGATCTATCCATTACAGTGACAAAGTTCAGAACATTTATAACTCCAACTGTGAGCAACTCGGCATAGGATGTGGCTGTTCAGGGCTGCATTTGTGACATGTATCTTGTGAAAACCTCATGTTCTAGATGCCACTGAGAAAAGACACGACTTTGTGAAGGATGTGACAGTGCTTTGTTGGCTTGCTACTTTCTAAACGTTAAAGTTGCTTAAACCTCAGGCCTTGAACACTGTCTTGCTTAACACTCACTTTCAAGATAATCCCTTCTGGTTTCAATTCATTCTATCATCCAGATCTGTATCTTTAATCCTGACCTTTCCCCTACTCGCCAAACATCTGTAACCAACTGTCTGTGTATGATTGCTCCATGGAAACAATGGGAAGATTAGCTTCGTCATATCTAAACTTAAGCTTTCATCATTCTCCCAATTGTTAAGACTGCTTGTTGAATATTTCCCATCTGTGTAAATGATGCCATCATTGGCCCAGGTGCTATTATCACAAAGGCCTAGAACCACCTTTGACTCTTTTCTTCATCTCTTATCTGTAAATCTTATTCTAATTCAAAGTATATCCAAAATTTAGCTTCTTCTGACTAACCCTAACCCTGTTTTTATGTATACTACGTTAGGATTTTATTAATTGGCCTCATATTGTTATTCCTGTTGTCCCTCACTCTACTGTCTGCAATGGAGCCACTCTATACTATAAACCAGAGTACTAGAAACAAACATGGTGAGCTGCATGGTTGTCTCAGATTGCTGCTTGGAAGTACTTTCTGGCCTGCAATGCAGGGAAACAGAATTCAGTCTTAGCTAAGCAGAGAATGGAGTTTGGGGAAACTGAGGCAGCTGGAATTTCAAGGCCGAGTAATGAAGAGAATCAGCAAGTAACATAGAGATAGAAATTGCATGATGGTTTCCTTGAGACTGTTGCTAAGAACCAAACTATGAAGACACAGAGTAATACTCCAAGGGCCGAGTGAAAAATGACTAGTTGTCGTCTTAGAAATGGAAACATTCTCAGAGCTGGCTGGAGATGTTTGTGTTCTGATAAGTTAATATGCAAGTAGTATTGAATTCTTGGGGGCATTCAGTAAACACTTCGAAGGGGCCCTGCCTTAGAAACAGGGCCATACTAGCCCCAGAGTAAAGATTACTTTAACATCTTATCAACACAATTTAAAAACAAGGCTCAAAAAGAACAAGCTGAACTTCATGTAACTTGTCTACATATAAGAAAAAAAAGTCCTGTTTATAGAACAATAGCCAATACTTAAAATTCATAATGTTTAGCTTCTACACAAAAACTACTGGATTTACCAGATACACAAAGAAATAGGAAATGTGACACGTTGGTGTTTTAGGGTCTTTATATTTGCTATTCTCTCAGCTTAGAACTCTTTCACCAGATGTCTGTATGATACCTCAGTCCATTTAATTATCTGTTAAAATATTATCTCCTTACAGTCTTTTCTGGTACATAAAATTGTCACTATCTGTCAATCTCAATTTCTTTATCCTTTTTTTTTTTAATTCATAGCCTTTGGTCATTAGCTTATATATGTCTTTAAAAATATTATTTATCTTTTTGATATGTCTTCCTCTTGATATACCTTGTATATGGCATGCACTTACTGGTGAATAAGGGAATAAAAAAATTAAGATGTTTTATGTACATATACCAACTCCCTATAAGAAATGTAGTCATTATGTACTGCAAACATGTACTAATAAGAATAAAAATAAATGCTTATTAGATGATTGAATGAGTGAATGAATGACTTATGGTAAAGTATTTTTGTTCTTTTTGGGTAAAGCTGAACATAGCTACCTAAATTTCTGGTAGATGCCACTAGCATTATAAATAGACTTGCATCAACAATGGATTGCATGTTATCATACTGTGGTCCCACAAGATTATAATGGATCTGAAAAATTCCTATCAATTGGTGATATCATATTTATTGTAATATCATAATGAAATACATTACTGATGTGTTTGTGATAACGCTGGTGTAAACAAACATAATGCACTTCCAGATGCATAAAAATATAACATACAATTATAGACAGTATGTAATACTTGATAATGATAATGAACAGCTATAGTATTGGCTTATTACTATTCTATATATTTTACTGTTAGACTGCATTCACTTTACTTACAAAAAAAAGTCAATTGTAAAACAGCCTCAGGCAAGTCCTTGAGGACAGATTCCAGAAGGCATGGCTGTGATGGGACA